AAAGGCTTACTCTTTCGCCGATAATGACACGGACGTGTCACTAATACAATTTATACATTTTTCTGTTATATCAAAGGCCTCGTACAGCTCCCTAGATATCCAACTGGAATATAATGGCGTACAGGAGCAGTATCTGCAACGTGTAGCAAGGTGTCCTTGGGGGGCTGTCCGTGTAACCGCTGTATGTTTGCGCTTGCAATTATTAAAACATCTGCCCATGTGGCTGACGATCTGCATGACATGGGAATTTTATATACCAGTCCCGTGGCGCATTCTGTGAACTTGTTGCAGTGCTTTGTATCACAAGGATCTGTGGACTTTGAGGGAACTGTTGATTTTGCGGCCCACTCGTGATAGCTTATTGGGTGTAGACAAAGAAATGGGTGCATCGTATCGATCGGCAACCTTTTTAAGATTGCGGGTTAATGAGTGCTCATGCAGGATTCGCCTAATCTCTTTCCTGAGGTTGCCTCGGTGTCCCTTCTTTCCTATTAAGCTGTCCACCACCTCCGCCAGAGTGCGCAGACGGTAGCCCGCTTTCTGCAACCGACACACACATACACATAGGCACAAAGAGACAATGTTTCGAGGCGTTACTTAAAAGGTCCTGTGCACATAGTGCTCAAGAGATCTTCACGGAACAGGTAGCATGGTTGCAGAAACCGGGCTGCTGTAGGAGCGCTCTGGCGGAAGTGGTGGACAGCCTAATAAAAAAAAGATGAAGGGAGACTGAGGCAACCTCGGAAAAGAGACTCTGCAAGTCCTGCGGTAATCCTGTGCGTGTACTCATTAATCCACAATCTTAAAAAGGTTGCCGATCGGTACGATGCACTCATTGTTTTTTCTGCACGCAATAAGCTATCACAAATGTGCCGCAAAATCAACAATTTCCGAAATTCCACAGATTCTTGCGATACAAAGCACTACAACAGGTTCACAGAATGCACCACGGGACTGGTATATGAAAGTGCCATGTCATGCAGATCGTCGTACATCGGCCACACGGGCAGATATTTCATTAATCACAAGCGCGAACATGCTGCGCCTACACGAAGAGCCCTGTCAGGACACCTTGCTACACATTGCAGCTTCTGCTCCTGTGCACTAGGTCCAACACTATAATCTGGACAATGTTAAATTTGAAAACCTCACGGTATAAGAGTTTATTCTGTTTTTATTTTATTTATTACTGCAGACCCTACACAATTCTAGCAGGGAGAAAGAAAGCAATGCTAGTGTCGCTGCAAATCTGGTATGAACCAAAGGAAGTCTCGCATGTAAGGCGAAAATAGTCACTCAAAGCTCTCGAGTTTAGTAGTCGAGTGAAAGTTTCCAATTCAATTTTGTCCAGATTTCAATAGTGGACCCAGTATGTGATTTAACACTGCAATACTGCTGCAGGATGACATTTCGGCATCAAATGTGAGTGACTGTTAGTGGGTAAAAAATATGTTCATTATGCTAGTGACTGCAGTACATGAGAGGCTCGCAAACATTAAAGGCCCGTTCACACAGTTGCGTTCGGAGCGACCACTACGCTTACGAACTAATGCAACCGGTTGGAACGACGAGTTACCATAGCAACGAAGCGCCAAATGGTCGTTTAGTTCGTGTTCGTTCGCAACGCAAGGAGTTGAGCCGGCTGAAATTTTTCGTTACGTTCGGGAACGACAGGAGCGACAGACCAATCACAAATCGAAGAGAGCTTGGTCGCGCGCGTTGCATGCCGGTCGTCCCGGGCTCCTTCGATCTGCAAACATGGCGTCCGTGGTGATCGCCGACGTGAAGGGCGTGGTGGAAGCTCATCCTTCCCCATAAAAGCACTATCCTTGACTCTGAATTTTCGTCGTGTGTCGTTATGATAGCCCAGCACGTACTAGAAGGGAAGATCCACCTACTCGTGCGGCGATCTCGTGGCGGCACTCTCAAGACAGCAGAAACGCCCGTGCCGTTGTGTATGTTTACTTCGACTACAGTGGTGCTTTCTTAGCATTTGTGTCCTCGCACATCGCCCGGATTTTTGGCGCATTTCATGCGTGTGCTTAAGTTCAAGGTATTACTGGTGCGTGCCGTATAAAGGATGCAAATTTTCACGCTTTTTCATCGCCCGAAAGAGATGATAAGTGTTAGCAATCCTGAACGCTCGCAACGTCTGTCAAATTATATTTCTACGTAGCGTTGCTAAGATTACATCATCTTTTATAATTGTAGAAATGGCGTGTGGTGAGATTTCTACTGTTGGCAAAGTCGTGTATGAAAGTCGTGATCGTGCAAGACGGCGTACTGCATCTTTTTCTTTTTCTAATGCACTACCCTGCAAGCGTATCCTGAAAGAAAAAAGAGTAATAAAGCTTGAGGTCATAGAAGACGGTCTATTTTCTGTTACGCAAGTGAGTGGCAGTGCGTCCCCTTCTTTATAGAGGCACCGCTGACACAGCTGACGGCAACGGAGAGGGGGTTGCCGTGCTGCCGACCCGCTGCGCTTGTTGCAGTGGCAGCAGGAGTGTACGCGCGGCGCAGAGCAGTCGTTGCGGTCGCTGCGATCACGACGGACGCAGTCGCGGATAACGGGTTTGTTTTAGATGTCTGAAACAGCCTTTACAAAGCTATTGTAGGCGCACAGCAGATCTTCGTGATTGTACGCCGTAGCCGAAACCTCGGGCTGCTCTGGTGAGGGCCCGGTCACTGATCTCTATTGTAATAGGCTGGATCGCGGACCGCGGCCTCGGCAGCTGGGGTTGAGTGTCGCCATCGGCGGCCATTGATTGACACCAGTCAATGCATGGGACTCTATGGGGAGAACGAGAAAGAGTGGCGCTTTTCTCGTTTCTAAGCTGTTGTAGCACTGAAACTTTTAAGATGCTTTTCGATAAGCCCGTCAAATAGTTTGCATACAAATATTAAAACTGATAGCCCTCGCAGTTCTTTTAGAGAAATATTTTGTGGTCGAGAGTGACTCCGCTGTAGTACAGCTCAATGAGGCAAGAGTTACCTAGAGTTACCGCGGAGTGGGTGGCGGTTTTGTTGAGTTGGGTTTAGCAGACGAGAAGCTCGAAGGCTTTGCCACGTGGAAATTTGCTCACTCCCAGAAAGCCGCTGTCGAGATGGAACTTCCTTGTCATTCATCAACTTCTGGGCTTCCCCGAGGACGGTCTCATTGACAGCAAGTTTCTTTGCTTACTACACTACGAGAGCCGTAGGCGCTCCGGTACGTTTCCCTTTTTTTCATCAGCGTTCGAACATTTGACAAATACCGATTCAATCTCCAAACACTCGGCATAAGGATCGCAGCTCACCATAAAACACTCGCCTTTGAGCACAGCGTACGTGCTTCAATATTCTTACTTGTGTGCGTTTCCCCCATAGACTTGCGTGTATTGCCTGGTGTCAAGCAATGGCCGCCGGTGGCGACACCGACGGGCTCCCGATCCGTGATCCAGCCTACTACAATAGAGATCAGCGGCCCCGCTACCCTGCGTCGGGTAGGAAACCGTCCGCCATGTTTGTAAGCGTAGCTGGGTTGCTTACTATTATCTAGGAGCAAAAGCTGAAACTCGTTTCTCATTGGCTGTTGATTCGTGTGGTTGCATGCGGTTGCATGTGTGTGTACACGTCGCGCACAGTTGTCGTTGAAGTCGCAGCGGTTGCATTCGTTCGTAAGCATAGTGGTCGCTCCGAATGTAGGTGTGTGAACGGGCCTTAACAAAATCTTGATATGAACGTCCGTTATTTTGAATGGTGGTCTGAGGTGGTGAGGACCATATCTTGTAGATTCTGGGTGTGATTGTCACCCATCATGAACACTGTCCATCATAACATAGTATTGAAAAAGAGACTTACCCTGGCTATTGAAGGCAGAAGATAATGCTTTTGATATCTGTAGTAGGTGCGGTCGGAGATGACTTGAATGTTGATGTGCCGCAGCATCCTTAGTGTTACAACAGGGCTTGCCCCACTGAAGAGAACTGCGGCGGAGAGAAGAAGGCTTCCCACGATCCTCCCCGACACACTGGGCTCACTTGTCCACTTCCTGACATGTCCATCTTGGCACTGTGTGGTCACTGTCAGGCAAGTGCCGTCAGGATGCAGTTCTGCTGTGCAGGGCTTGTGGCACTCTCTACAAAACTTGAACAGCACCAACAAGGATCCTTCATAGATTATATATTTCCTTTCCTTTTCGGGTGTCGGAGCTGTGCTTTTGCCTGCAGACCTTTAGAGTTAAAAAAAGAAGGAACATATAATGTTGAATGCTTTGTGCATCATGCTAAAACTACTTGTAAAACTAATGATTCTTTATTTGAGATTTCAAATAAAGCCATGTATGGATAAATATCTGAGGCAGGAAAATGGGGGGACTAGAGTTATGTGCTGTGCAAACTAGTGCAGCTTGGTGGTCAGATTGTGAAACACAGGAAGTGGCATTCCAAAGCAATTAGCACCATAGCTGAGACAGTGTATGAAGTAAACCAAACAGTTATGATAAAATTTGCAAATTACATAACTTAGAATAAATTATTTAGAGCTTCATTGCAGTATATCAAGCAAGGCGAACCTGTTAATGCTGTCTTCTTCCGAGGGGTAGTATGTGTCATCTGCAGCATCGTATGGCTCTGCTTCAGAAGGGGGGTCGGCTTCAGAGAAAAGGTAACCTTCAGAGGGCGGGTCTGCTTCTGAGGGGAGGCCATCCTCAAAGGCAGGGTCGGCTTCAAGGCAGCAATCTCCTTCAGTGGGGAAGTCGTCTCCAGGTAGCTCCGAGGGCAGTTTTATCTCTGAAGGCAGCTCTACCTCCATGTCTTGTTCCGTTCCACAGAACAACCAGTCAATCCCTGCCAGTGTGGCTGGCCCAGGTTCCACTTGAGGCTGTGGTTCCTCTGTGGGCTGAACCTGATATGCCGGATCGATAAATGGAACAGGTGATGTTGGTCCAAAGTCAAAGGGACAGATCTCCAGTGCGGCAGGCGAAGATGTCCGCGTGTAATCAGTCTGAGTGCCACGGCTGTCTAGAACCTTGAACTCTGTCAGCATGTCAGTCTGTGTCGCTGGAATGATAAATTTTTTGGGGTAAGTTGCTCATAGAAAATTTGCATACTCATAAACACAAAAATAAAAAAAATAAAAACACCCGCCAACAAAGCCTTAAAGATTCAGGGTCCCTTTGTTTCAAAACCGACCTGTTTTTTTTTTGTTTTTTTTAAGGGGGGGGGAGGCTATTTATATGCGAGGAGCAACAGGTTTGTTTTTTTCTGCTGTGGTGGCATTCTTTGGTGAACTTTTTTTTTAAATGCTTATGTCTGCTTTCCAATTAGTGGACATCATCATCTTAACAATATCTAGAGTTGTCTTAACATCTAGCCACGGCGCACTCTTTACATCCAGCCATGGCGCACTGGATATGTGTGTTGGGATGCTGAAGATTAGCGCTAGCTCTGACGTCGTCGAATCGAAAGCTGACGGTAAGACCAGCACGAGGGCTCAGTATAGTTCACTGGTTATGAAAGCAACGTCTGCTCAATGATTGTGGCTTGCTTGCCTCGTGTTCGAAATGAAGGTGACAGAAAAAAAGACACAGGAAAGTCTTAAATGTTTGTGCTGTGCTATCCAGGCAGACGAAAGCAGTTTTGATGATCAAAAGAGAAACTCTCAGAGACACTAAATAGTGGATGTTTATATCGGCCTTTTATCTGGTGCTTTTAAATCTTTCAACGGTACAATTACAGCGAGTTCACAATGTTTCGGGCCTTTAAACAAACTGAAAAAAAGTTTCAATGGATGCCGGCGGTTATAAGCATACATTTGTGTGATAGCGGAAGCTTTTAGGTTTTCCATACTCTTATTTTTTTATTCGTCCGAAGAGCTGCATGGTTTTGGTAATTTGGTTTTTTGTACAGGGAACTTTTTGCATAAATGGCTACAGCACTAAAACATTGTTCCTAATGCTGTGACAGTTCATGTCTGTCAACTTTGAAGGAAGCACACAGCCACGTGTTCCAAAAAAGCAAAAGGTTAGGAGTTCTCAATGCAGCTATGACAATGTTTGATTGTCTTTTGCTACATAATATTTATATTATAAAATTAAATGTATGCAATAAAGCACAGAACAATAGCCACGAGTACGCTAAAACCAAAACCGACCGAAGTGAAACCATTTAATGGCGGCAGTACACTATGCGCCAGTCAGGGAACTACTAAGATGAAAAGGTGTATGGTGTAAACCTCGGATATTCTCTTTGTCGCTTTATAAATATATTCAGAAACAGCAAGGTGTCCTCCTTTTCACATTCCACAGTGAACTGAATGGCTGGCTCGATAGAGTATAGGTGTGCCAGAAAGTTAGTAATGTTTGAAGTATTCAAAATATGAAAGCAATCATTCACATTTGTAAATAGTCACACCTGAAGAAGTCAATTCGGTTTTTGAAATGTTGGGACCGTGGAACTTGAGGTCTTTTGTTGATGACTTCTTAATTTTCCTGGCTTTGACCATACCAGAGGGGCTTCTGTTAAATTTGTTTATGTTCAAACAGAAAGACACTCGGGCTTACCTCTTACAGTTCCCATTTGTCTTCTGGCTGTGGAATCCAGTGGTGGCTTGCTTGTAGGGAGCTCAGTGCGTGGCACCACAACAACCTAAATGCAAAGATAAAAAAAGCTTGTGCTCAAGCACAGAAAGTTTTCACAGAAAGCAATTTTTTACTGCAGGACAAAACAATGTTTATATTGGCAGCTCTTCAGTCATGTTCTTGTAGTAACCACTTGATTGCAGTCACATTTTTTATTAGAAATTCTTTGCAGGAATAACAAAAGGGACTTTTTTTATGCTTACATGGCGGGTAAATTAATTATGCGAGTATGTTACTTACACAAGTAAAGTCGGTATTTGCAAACAACAATGACTACACATAGTTATGAGTAGTGTCACTCAAAAAGAATGAACAAAGGAATGCAATAGGCAAGTATATGAACACATGTCTTCACTCTTTTGGTGTCAGCTGCTGCTTTTAAATGAAAATGCTTGAGTCTGTTTCTTTCTTTTTTCAACATGTATTGAAATAATCTTTTGAAAGTTCCAGTCTGGTAAGCTACTTTAAAACTATGTCCCTTGCCTGGCCCAAGCATTTTGCCCGCTTTTCAAGAGGGAGCTTCCTTTGCAGCATCCATTATACAGATCAGAGACGTGCAAAGTGTGTGTTGTGACCCCTCAAACGGTCGCGGGCTATTGTACGAGGCCACACGGCCTTGGAGAGTTCCTGAAAAAAAAATGAATATGCATAAAGCTAGCACAGAAATAACAGTCCCCTAAGAACAGTGGCTGGTAAAGCCGAGTTTAAAGTCAACGAAACCAGGCTGTGCTCTTTAATAAGCGTGTTTGGCCCAGGTTTTGGGGTCGCAGTCCCAAACAGTTAGCGCACCTCTGGAACAGATGATGATGCTATTTCAATAACCTCATCATTCTTTCGTCTTGTAGTGGAAGACAGCAGGTGTTGAATGTGGAGGCACAACTTACCAAGTGGATATCCTTTGAAGTAGTATTTGGAGATGGTATCTCCTCACCCCGACATTCCTGGAAGTATGAAATATCTCAATGTTTAGAATCCAAACAACGGGACATAAAAAATTTAGATTTCTTTATTTCAGGTTAAATTTCTTTATTCCTCTACAAATTAAAGGTAGGAGGTAGGGAAAAATCAACTATAAGTTGTTGCAGTTGCACCTCTAGGCTCCTCAAGATATATGGCTTACCTACTAAAAAAAGGATATTAGCTGCATTACACCTGATTTACACGAACACAGAAAAATTCATTACTCGATGTGCAACAACGTGCTTCTTAGAAACAGTGCTTGTGGCTCTCTAAATTGATAGGTCATGCACAGGATAATTTATGGTCCACAATTGTCACGAATTTAGGTGATATTTATTTTTTGTTTGTTGGCACTGACTGCACTGTCCGCAGCCGTTGGTTCAATCTTTTAATCTTTAGCACACCTTTCCGCCCCACCCCAAAGTGACGAGGTACTGTTTTTTGGGTGGGAAAGAGGTGTGAATTTTTCAGTCTGGTTAGGAACCACAAAAATTTTTTTATCTGTCGCTCTTCAGTCTTTTGGGTTGTCATCGGGGACAATTGAATGTGGGAAATGCTCTGTCATGTGAGTGATAACCCTGACATCTGTTTGTACCTTTATGGATTGTTAGCTTCCGCCAAGGTTTTTCTCTGGAAAAGTGATTTTTGGGGTGGTACATAAGCAGAATTTCGCCAAGTAGTGGGGAGGGGAGCACCCCCATGGCTCTGCTCGTGGGTGCACTCTGCCACGCGAGTCCTTGGAATTTTTTATTTGTTTTCTTCTTTGGGCTGCGGTCCTGTTTTCCCTGTGTTTGCTGGTGGCGTGTGTCCTGTTCAGGCATGTGCATGTGTATTGTTGACCCATCGCATAACGATGGAGAAAAGACCAGGGACGGATCCAGGACTTTGTTTCTTTGTTTCCGGGGCGGGGCGGGGGGGGGGGGGGGGGGTGAATTTGTAAGAATACTATTCTCCCATTCTTTCATGTCACCGGGGGGTCCACTCATGTGAAACTGCCCTCGGGGAAGGGGGGGGGGGGGGGGTGCCTGTCGCCCCGCACCTTGAATCCTATGAAGTCTCTGGATGACATCCCCTCTTTTTCTGGCTCCTACACTGGGAATGGACCTATCGCCTGTCACCAGTCTAACCTAAACATTCTGTTCTAAGTAATTTTAGTTTATCTCAGAGTACGGCTTTTAATTTTTAATAATTTTTCCTGCTGCTTTATGTCAAGTATAAGATGTCATGGTGATTTGGTGTGAACTCACATGAGTTGGCCCAGCTGCCAAGCTTGCTGACTGGTCGGGAGTAGCTAGTCCTGGAGCAGCGCTGTCACCCGGAGATTCCTGAAAGTAATGAAATTATCATTCTGTGCACTTCGGGTACTATACAACAGTTGTCCAGTACATCTTTGCGATGCACTTTGTACATCCCGGGTCACAAGTGACCTTTCATAATTCACAAAGCATATATTATGCTTCACAAAATCTGCACCCAAAATGTTGAAGTTATTTTATTTCGTGTTAGTGTAGCGTTTACCATGGACAGGGTAGATAGTTTTTGGTGAGCATAAATTACAAACACCTGAAAAATCTGGCATTCTTTTTTTTCTGTATGGTATCCACTACCTATTTTTGCATTTATACGGCAGTTTTTTTACACATAGCCAAAATAAAGTGACAAATGTCAAAATTCAGATATTCTCATGACTAATTCGAGGCCTCAGACCACATGATGCATCATACCCACAGCTTACTCAACACTTTATTTTTGTAGTACCGAATGGTAGCACTTTTGGTTAACTTGAAATTGCGTTGTATTTTACATTAAATTCGAAATTCCATCTCTGAATTTTATCCAATGCAATAATTTAAAACTACATTATTAAAAAAAATATATATAAAAAAGTGCCCTTTTTTCTATCTTTTTTTATTACATCACCTTTTAGCGGTCAAACATGTACCCAACGCCTTGGTCATCAAAATGGTATTTTCTGCTAATTGGCTTCAGTGCAGTATGAATACTTACACATGTTAATGAATAAATACTCCCTCCTTCCCCTTCCTTCCCCTCCCTCCCTCCCTCCCTCCCTCCCTCCCTCCTCCTCCTCCTCCTCCTCCTCCTCCTCCTCCTCCTTCCTCCCTCCCTCCCCCCCGTAGTCATAAGCACGTCATCGACCCGTTTGTTATCACAAAATATGTTTTTGAAATTTATTCAAAAACATATTGTCTGCTCAACGAGTGGTAACTTCAACGCAACACTCCTCTTCTCACGCGCTCAGTCTTTCTAAAAATTACTGATTTAGGGGTTTTGGACGACGCTCGGCATGTTTCTAATTGGAACCATATGTCTATCCTCACTAATAAAAAAATTAATTAGTGAATTTTAATTAATTAGCCGACTTATAGCAACGATTAGCCACCCACATAATGTCCCCCTGGGCGTATTAACTCACTCCCGCAAACAGCATAAGTGTAGCTTTCATGGCTTTTTTCTAAAACTAATCTGTAAGAATATAAAAAAAACGGGATATAATTGGCAAATAAATATACCCAACCTTCCGGCTTTAGCTACAAATTTAAACGTCCACGTAGTGTGCTCCGTTAACGAGGTGCAAATTTGTTGGCCCGTCCCAGCGGCTGGGACGAGCCGATGTTCGAGTGGCGAGCAAAGAGCAGGCAAATATTAATTCATGCCGCGCACCAATGTCGGCTGGCGTTCATCGAGATTGTGTTTAAGTCCAAGTTGCATTTAATGAGATATATTTGGTAGACTTACCTCTAGTCTTGGGCGCTTTGCTTGGCGTGGTGTGACCTGCTGCGGGAAGTTCGTCGGTACAACACTACGCCTCAACCGAGGTACCATTTTAACCCCCAACGCTCTAGATACGCTTGGACTGACCTCATAATCTTCGTCGACAAAGTGTCGGGAACAAATAAAGGAATTAGATCCAAAGCCTTCGAGAAGTTGTTCAGGAATTGCAGCTAGCCAGGCCGCCTTCTCTGGCGCAGATTTTGGGAACCTGTGCAGCAGCGTGCTTTCGGTTGCGATTCCGCCGGGGCATCCTTTCACGCAGCACCGGCGCGACATGGTCCCTCACGTCGCCGACACGAGTCCACTACGCGTCCTGTTCAACCTCACAAACTTTGGAACAATTTGGGATCTCAAAGAATTTGAGATCCCTGAAACTTCGAACTCGAAAGTACAGCGTCGTCTGCTTGCAGCGAAAGGCGACACGCACGGAGAAGGGAGAAGGAGGATGCGCGATGCGCGGATCCCGGGGGCAACGCCACTTCCGGTTGGGGCGGTTTTGGAGGCAGGAGAAAAACTCGAGTCACAGGTCGCCTCGATTTTTGACGTCACTCCTCTGGCCCGTAGAGCGCGGGAACTTCAAAATCGGCTTTTGGATTTTGTTTTTTTTTACTTCACAAATACTGAGTCCCCAGGCTTCAAATTCTGAGGGTAATGTGTAAACACGGTTTTTAATCGTTTCAGATAATAAAAAAAAAATATTATTTTGACCTGTCAGTGCCCCTTTAAGCAGCTCCACTAAACCCGTCAAATGTTAACTTCGTTCATTATTTCACTAAAGAAAGTGCCGGATTTGCATCAATATAAAGTTTTAACGGAATAACAACCGTTCAGTCATTAGAAGGACATCATATATCTCGGATGACTTGCTTGAGGTGGGTTTTATTTTAATAAACATGCAAGCAAAATTATAGGTAGGTAATAAAGGTAATGGCGCAGGTAATACGAAGTGCCATAAACGTAGATAAAAAGTATTTGCAATAAACGTTATCTGCTGTGCACGTGATTAGCAAGTACTTACTATAGGCGAATACAGCTAATAATGCGTCCTGCAGACGAAAAGGACATGCATTTACATGGGTGCTGCTTCGTTGGTGTGCGTTTTTTCCACGTGCTGTTTTGACGCCGTGCTCTAGTATCGCGTGCTCTTTTGATGCATACTGTTTTGACGCTTGATGTTTTTACTGTGTTCTTTGTCTCGTGCTGTTTTGTCGTGCGCTGTTGTTACGTTATGCATGTTATTACGATTCTTGAAATGTCGACGACTTCTTTTCCGACCCCTCCGCATTTACTTCTACGCCCGTTGCCCCTGCGCAGTCTAGTTCAAGTTGAAAAACATTTTTCAATTATTTAGTTTTTTGTAGGAGTTGACGATTCTTCTATAAGAACTAAATTGCACACTACTGTAGTCCTTGCTTGGCTGGGAAGTTGAGCGAAAACACCAAATGGGAAACTGTTCAAACGGCCGGTAACACTTTGTGCGCTACCATCTTCTTTGAGTCAAAATTCCATTGCGGTTTGTCAATTTCGTAGCGTTGTCGGTAACAATCGAGGCCTACTGCTCACCGTCATCAATGCTCACTCACACCTGCGAGCTAAGGGTTAGTATTGTTTTACGCTCTTCTTGCACGTACGTGCTCGTCGCCTCGCCGGTCGCTGGTTTCTCGCCGCAACCATCATGGCAGATGTACAGTTCAGCGCGAAATCTGGGTTTGAGTGCCGGCAAAGGCGTGGGCGCGGGCACCTATTGTTCGAAAGCGCTTTCTCCGCTCGAGTGCTTGTGCGAGCGAAGGATTCTTCACAATTACGCTTTCGCGCCCAGGTCCTTGCCAGCGCCGAAGACAAATGGTAAGACGTTGCATCTCCTTCGGCGCCCCACTATAGATAGCGCTGTGAATTTCGGATAACATATATGGCTTCAACTATATTTTTTGAAGGATATTGCCGAGACTTTGGCTGTCTTTGTATTCTATTCGCAGCTTTCAGCGATGGTGGTACGGCGGTGTGAGAATGACACTCCTTAGCTGCTTGATGATCGGCTTCACATTATAGGTGCTTGCCTACACCTTCCCGGCGTGAAAAAATAAAGTAAGGCTCCAACACTGCTCGCATGAATCAAAACTATAATTTCTTACGCGTCGAAGACCCCGCCTCGTACTGCTGTTCCAGGAGGATCATCCAGA